TCTGGAATGCTAACAGACAGAAAACGATGTGTGCCCGTTTAGCCTTGTATCCTTCATTTCCTGTCAGGTTGGCGAGATCGAGGAGCAGCTGACGTCTGCCAGGAGGGAGCTGGCCCGATCAGAGGAGACCAACCAGAAACTACAGAGGGATCTAAAGGAGGTGTGACACTCCGAGCTATGTCGTTCATACTTTTTTGTTGTGGTTACTATGCTGTTTGTTTACGTGGCTGCAGCAACTGCTGCTGTATGCAAATCACCGCGTAGCCGTGATGTCACCAGTAGAGCTGCAGGCGATTTTTCGCATGGATGTGGGCCGCTTAATCAGTCAGTGCGCTGGCAGCTGAGTGAAAGGCGTGCGGAGCGTTTTGGAATTAGAGGTAGTCGAGCAAGTTTAATCGGCAAACTTTTACTTCATGCCACGGCCTGTATCCTCCCACCCAACCCCCACTCTCACTTCTGTTGGACATAACAGGGTGCTTCTGACATCTGTCAGCGATAACTATCAACCGGTCATTATCATTCCTTAACTAATAGCAGTTCACACTGAGTGAATTATCTTTTTGAGAACGCCTCCTTGTAAATTTACCATTTGGTCTCTTACGCCTTTCTATTTGTTTCTCACAGTGGTTACATATTTTCACAGGCGCTCTGTCAAAGGGAAGACATGGAAGAGAGGATCACCACATTAGAGCGCAGGTTTGTGTTTTGTCTCCGCGTCCATCAACACGGAGAAAGTGCAGGATGGAAAATCTATAAAGACAGAAACAGTAGAATGGAAAAAGAACATTCAGAGCTATTGAATGTGCTAAACTATATTAGGTATTAATTCATGAATTTAATTATCTGCATATTCATTCCCCCTATTTGTTCCCATTTATTTTTTGTTTTGTTAATTTTTGAATTCATCTATTTGTTTCATAAAATTTTCTTGCATTTTGTCCCTAATTCATCTTTTTCCCATTTAAAATTGGCATTTTTATAAAAAAAACATGCAAATCTCATATGAAGTATGTCATATAAACTTTCCTTTCACACCAGATTCCCTCCCAGAAACAAAATACATGAATAAAAACACAGATGAAACAATTTTATTAATAAAATGAGCTTTATTTTTTTTAAGGAATACAGGGGCAAATTTAAACATTTAGTCTCATATTTTATAAATTAATTGTGTGCATTTACCCTGGATATTTATTATTTTTGGTAGATTTATTTCTTTATAGTTGACATGAAGATGACCTTTCTTCCAAAATCCCGTCCACTCACGTCTCTGTTGGGGTCTGGTTTGCAGGTACCTGAGTGCCCAGAGGGAGGCGACTTCTCTCCATGACATAAAAGATAAGCTGGAAAACGAGCTGGCCAGCAAGGAGTCACTCCACAGACAGGTTAGGTTAACGGTCCCTTTCATCTCCATGCGTGTTCATGTCTCTGCTGCTGATTGGCAGCTTGGCTGTGTTTCGCATTGGCACAGAAAGAGCATCATTAGTGCCTTTTCTACTTCCCCCCCGACGGCTTTAAACATGTCTTTTTGCCCCCGGCAATCTTCTATTGCGGTCCGAGTTCCACCTGCACTCCCTGACATCCCGCTTTCCTGCAGAGTGAAGAGAAGAACCGGCAGCTTCAGGAGCGTCTTGATGATGCCAAACAGAAGCTGCAGCAAACCCTGCAGAGAGCTGAGACGCTGCCTGAGATCGAAGCCCAGCTCGCCCAGAGAGTGGCTGCACTCAACAAGGTGTGTACGTCCTAATCGGCCTCAGTAAACCCCTGTTGGTGTATTTTGGAGTGATCCGACAGGTTTGCCAAAGTCTTGCGAGCCTTTTTATCCCCAATCGTGTTTTTTTTTTTAAACAGCAAAATTTTCTTGAGACAAAATTTAGCACGTAGATGTGTGTGCACAAATTTGGTGCGAGCTGGAATGTGCAGCAATGCAGAGACTCAGTTGCATGCGTGAGTACATGCAGGCAGGTGCAAGCAGGAGCATTTGTAAGTGCATGTTTGTGTGCATTCACGCCCACATAAAGTGTAGGAAAAAAAACACACAAGATGTCAAAAGATAGAAGAATAGCAAATATTTGATCAAGCCTTGGCAGCAATACATAATCAGACAAGCTGAGATGAAAGCCCGCTCAGGGCACAGAGTGAGCACAGCTATTACATCCTTGGGTGCTCAGCACGTCAAGGACTGTACACCGCAAAAATTCTTCCTGACTGACTGATTTAATGGCATGCATGTTAACCTCTTGCATTCCCGTAAAAAAAAATGGTTTCCTCACTCCAAACAATTTGCATAGAAGTTGCTCTGCTCTTATTAGTCAAACCTCTTCAACGACTACTGCTTCTACATGTTCGGGCAGGAAGGCTGTTGTGGAAGGAAAAGATTAATGTCCTGTAAGAAACAAGAAAACAAACGTTCCTGTAACGATGTGAGCTGTACAGGCATGTAACTAATTGAAGGAATAAGTCAACAAGCTGTTCCTTTTGTGTTAATTTGTATTAGTGTTGCAACACGATTCAGGCTCTAACCTTGCTCTCCAATCGCTCAGGCGGAGGAGCGTCATGGTAACTTTGAGGAGCGACTGCGACAGATGGAGGCGCAACTGGAGGAGAAGAACCAGGAGCTACAGCGAGTGAGTCATGCTTGCTTTTCCATCTTTCTGTTTTCATCCTCCCCCTCTTTTCCTTTTGTCAGGATTTACTCTGCACAAAGGCGCACTAATTT